TATATATAAATTAAAGAATCATTTTAAAAAGATGTTTAAAATTAGCATCCCTATAATTTACTGTTTTATAAATTTATTTTAAATAAATTTCAAATTAAATTTAAATTTTTTAAATTAAATTTACACATGGATAAAATAAGTTGCAAAATTCAAATTTATATTGTCTGTCTGCAAGTTATGTTTATTTAAGCGCCAATCTAGTAATTATTAACCTTCATTTAAAATAATTAAAATAAATACATACATATGTACATAAAAATTTTAAAGCTTACAACACAAAGTTTAAAGTAATCAAATTTTCAAAAATTGTCATCAGCATTTCAAACTTTTTAATCAGAGTTTTTAGAAAATTTTCAAATATATGCAATTTTTTATTTTAGCCCATTCGATTTGTTCGCATTTTTTAAAACATAATTTTTTTTTTTTTATTTTACAAAAAAAAATATTAAAAAAAAAAAAAAAAAAATAAATAATCCAAGACGGAATTACGGGGATTGATAAAAGTCTTATTGATAAACATTATAGATTACATTTGAAATCTTATTTATTGAACAAATTTAGAAAACATTTTATTGGTGATCCTTTTTAAATAAAATATTGAATTATAATTTTTTTTCAAAATAACTAAACAAAATTTGCCAAGAGTTAAAAGGTTTAACTTTATAAGTTATTATTAGTTTTTAGAACATTCTGATCAAAAATGTAGCTAAAATCTAGTTTTTCAGAAAAAGGATATGTGGAAGGTAGTCATGTCAGGACATAATTTCATAGCCAGCTGCCAATTTTCTGCTTTATTCTGTTTATAATTGTTTGCTAAAATTAAACTTTTCAAATTATTCAAATTTTCAATTTTGCCAAAACTCCGAATTTGTCTTAATTTACATATTCTGAAACCAGCGTACCAAATTTAATTCTTCTGCGACAACTCCCCAAATTTTGCCGATACACTGTATGGGTGCATCGCCTGGTAAAAATGATGTACAAATCAGAGAAAACTGAAATGACTTCACTTTGGACAAGTCAATTTGTCTGCTGGGTATTAACATACATACATATGTATGTATTTGCATAATGCAATATGCACACAAATGGGCAAGCGTTGTAAATGTTATTTGCGTCCCATACTTGGTGTTGTTGTCACGAAAGTAGTAGAGGACTTACTGATGCCTGGATTGACGACGCTGCTGTCACTTTATTATAGCTTTTGTTGTTTATGTGACATGTAATTGCAATGGACATACAAACATACTCGCAACAAAAGCTAATATGGAATAGGTTTTCGAATGCATTTTCGGATGAATATATATGTATTTGGTATTGCAGAGTAATAAGTAGCATTTTTTTAATGAAAGCTCAGCTTTAAAAAATCATTAAGCAAAAATAAAGAGAAAAGGGAGATGATTTCGTGGTCTCCAACACATTTTTTAATTTTTTTATGGGATCATAAGAAATCTATTATTTAAGGTTATGACCAATTTGCGGTAGATGTCCTGCCTTACATAAAGATAATACAAAATCAGTAGGTGCGCGTACTGTCAAATAATAAATGTGGTAATATGGGCATCAATTAAAATAAAAACTCAAAATCAGATTGATCAAACTTTTGTTTCCAATACGCTTTTGGAACATATTTATGACATGTGTCCTTTAAATATACTATCCTTGAAGATTTTTAATTTTGAATGCATTTTGGAGAAACTTAGATTAATTTAAATCTTATTAATATATTCAAGGATATTGAAGGATAATAATTGTAAAAGATATTTTAGTTTAATAAATTTTTTCGATGTCCTTGGGAGAAATCCTGCCGTACTATTAAAAATTTATTGATGCAGATTTACTAGAAATGCGTTAAAATGTGGGAAACAATTCGAACTTTTCGCATTTCCACAGTTTTCATGGACGATTAATTCAAGTTATTAACTAAAACATCAACTAAAATTCGGCACGGGTTATAGTTATCCTACGACCACAAAACTTCATACACATATATGTTATTTAGGCTAGAAAGCACAAATATACAAATTTGCAAACCAATTTTTTTCCATATATTCTTGGGACAGTCTAATGTATATAGACAAGTTATTATTTTTGCTAACAACGCCCCGAAGACGCTATTTTGATTTACAATTCATGATTATCCTTGATCGATTTTTACCTCAATTTTTAGTTAGTTTTTTTTTTGGAAAATGTTTTTATAGTAGCTCCATTAAATTTTTATTCCTTCGAAATATTGTTATTAAAATTACTTTCTAACAAGCAAAAAATATTTTGCTGTAATCATACCTTATTATTAAATTTTATTTATTTTTTTTTTTTAATTACCTGATGTTGTGAGTAGGCAGTTCGATGATTCGGGCCTGTCGCCGGCCCCGGCGGTGTGGGATACCGCTGTGGATACGGTGAGTATTGTGCAGTAGCCGTACCCTGATTTGATGATTGCGGAGGTGGCGGTGGCGGGCCGCCCGGCTGCTGTTGGGGTGAACTTGGATAGGAACCTGAATTTTGACCATGTGTTGGCGGATAAGGTGATTGACCTCTGGAAGTATTTGTCTGTAATGGAAAAAGGGGGAAATTTAAATTTAGCGATGTAAAAAAATTTAGTGATAAAAATAAAATACAAAAATATTAGATTAAAATAAAAAAAAAATTAATAATAAATAAAACAAATATTGAAACATAAATAAAAAAAATATTGACAGTATAAAAAATATATAAGATACCAAAAATTAACACAAATATCAAATAAAAATAAAAATATTAAGACAAATATTAAACAAAAAATATATATATATATATATATATTTAAACAAAACTATTGAGGACAAAAAAAAACTTTTTCAACAAAAAATTATGTGAAAAAAACAACTTTAAACAAAAAATTATGTGAAAAAAAAAATAAAAATATTTGAAAAAAAGCCGACTGAGAATGGTAAAAAATGCATAAGGTGAAACAGACCAAAATACATAAAACTTCGAAGGTTAAGCTCGGCCCAAACCAGATTTTATTGCCTAATGAGTAAAAGATTCACATTTTTTTAGTTTTCTCCTTTACCTCCGATCGCCAAAGATAAAAGATTTTAATTAAAGTTTCTCGACCTTAATTTTAAGCGTTATCCATCCATTATCAGTAGCCTATAAACTATGGTGCCACTTCCAAGGAGCCTTCCACAAACACCAACAAACATACGATTTCTAAAAAAAAATTTCAGTACAGTACGAGGCACACACACATGTACATATGTATGTAAATTGACGAAAGATGAGTAAAGCTTGCAAGGAAGCAAAAAGGAATTTTCAAACTAACAGCAAAACGAATAAGAATTTCTAATATTTGCTTCGAGTGCTATTCAGGTATGATAAAGTGCAGCACATAAAAGCGTAATTAAATCGTGTAGATATCTTGAAGAACAAGTGCAAATGAATTCATATATGTATGTACATAGACTGTGGCTGCAAAAACAACAAATCATTTCCGTACTGCAGCAGACGGAGGGAGACTTAATACACAGAGATTTGATTTGAGATATCAAAAATATGAAAACAACAACAACATGTACCAGCACTCATCATACATACATACATACAAGTCATGTCAGAAATACATACTGTAAGTATTTGAGAGAGAAGTAAGCGAAAACAGAGAGGACTCACATTGACAAAATATGTATGTATGAAAATATGTACTTAAAATATCTCCAATGTTACTGGAATAGAATACAAGTTCGTATCGTTCGCTCCTTGCTCCTTTAGCATTTGCCTTTGTTTCAAACAATGCCGCATATGTATTTATTTATAAGAATGTATGTATGTATGTATGCATAAGAATGTATATTCATGTAATTTACCCATCGTCTCAACTACGCCAATTACCTACCTGTCTGCATACCTGTGTGCGCAGCAACATAGTTACAACACCACCAGCAGAAAGGAAGCTGAGCGAGCACTCCTACTCCACAAGTTTCCAGCTATTACTGAATGAACCAATTATTTTGCCATTCTCACCACCCACACGCACGCACGCAACGCCAAACAACACACTTGTAGGCTTTATCGGTGGTACCACTGTAGTGATTGGTGGTGGTGCAGAAAGGAAGACGAGTGTAAACATCCAGCTAACATACACTACATATCTAGTATCGATTGGAAAATAATGACAACATAATTTATTTTGCTGTCACAAATTAAAATGAGATTATCGGTGAGTTAGTGGAAAACAGGCGAACGATAAATGTAAGGAGCTAATAAATATGTACATACATACATATATTTTTCCATATATATTTATATAAATTTCTACATACATACATACATCACTATATGGAAAGAAATGCAGAAATACAAAATTGCCGCGTGAGCAATTGAATACAACAGATGAAGGAAGGAAATTTATTGAAGAATTTTATACAATAAAAAAATATTGTCTCATAATCAATTTGGAATGCAATCAAAATTCGTTGATGATGATTAATTTTATGTACATACGTACATGGAGTGGTATCTGCTGCAGTGATTCCCGAAGCGTTTTCACAATTCAGAAGGGGCGTGAAACAGAAAAAGTTTTTATTTACTTTAAATTGAAACAGATGTCAGTTTGATAGTGATTCAAATAATGTATCTCTGGGTTTTTTTGCAGCAAAATTTACAGTGAGCGTGAGTCAAAATCGTACGATATTTTGTTGTATTTAAATTGTATTAATTTTTACTACAAATATAGTCCGCACTACATCAAAATCCATACAACTCAAAGTTTCTAACTTTGTAACAATTAAAAAAAAATTTTTGAATTTTCATTAAATGCTCACCCTTTAAATAACGAACTGAAAAAATATCGAAAACGACAATAAATATCACAAACGACAA